GATGTGGCTGGTAGCTGGAGAAAACAATGTCTTTAGTGGGGGCTGTAGAGTCATATAAAATAGGAGGGCTGGAAGGAATCTTATGGGTCATCTGAGCCAGACAGTGATGTTAGAGCCAGCTCATACCAACTTGTGAGAGCCAGTTGCTACATTTTCAGGAATTTGGGATGCCAGTTGTAAAACAGCCGTTATTAATATTAAATTATGTAAACTTATATAAATTATATTAAAAACAAAGGTAAAAAATACTCAAAATCCATCACTTTCTAATTATTTTACTATCTCTGTGCTCTTGAGATTATTTATGGCTTTTGCGTGTGTATACTGGAAGTACTAGCAGTGTTCTCATGACAGTAGCTTCAAATCAGACGCAGTAACGGCACTGGAAGTGCAACGAGGCAATTTATGGTTCGATGTCAGCAGCTGACATCTATGAGAAGCCTTGTTCTTCAAAGGATTTCCTTTGAGAGTGATGCCAGAACTCTAGCAAACGCTACAAATCAAAGCTTTTTGTCCCCAGAAAGCCAGTTGTTATATGTTTATGAGACTGGGGCACTGAGCTGAACAGAGACTCATCCAACGTCCTACAGTCAGTAACCAGCAGGGTCAAGATGAGACTTGGGTCTCCTAGTGCCTGTCTGTTACATGGCTTAGGGTTATTGATCCTGAAAGACACAAGGGATGGGGACAGATTTAGCTGTGGGCACTTATCTCCAGGGCTCTTCTATGACTGGTGACAGCACTGTAGGAACTCGGGTCATACATGAAGAGAGGGGATAATTAACACAAAAATCAAATTCAGTTGCCAGCTGGGTGGTTGTCTACTCTCTGCTGGTCAGCCAGAAAGACAAGTAAAGAGGAGGTAGAGACTGGACCCCGAGCTCTGTCCCTAATGTGCGGTGGTACAATTATTGAATGTAAGAATGAATAAAAAAACAAATAACACTTACCACTGCCTGATAGCATGTAATATATGTATTTGCTAATTTATTTTATGTCTCCTCCACTAGAATGTAAGCTCCATGAGGACAGGGACCTGGTCCTATGTGCTTTATACACCCAGCTTACAGAATCATGCCTGACACATAGAAAATGTTCAGTAAAAATGTCTGAGTGAATGCATGCATGCATGAATGAATGAATGAATGAACCAATCCTGGCACTTCTTGGCATTATACAGCGCCAGCTCCCAGAGAAGTTGTGCCCAAAGAAACATGCCTGGCAGAGTCCAGCATAGGGGACCCTATGACCCTCCGTCCAGCTACTAGACCCTCAGTGACCTCATTTCTCTTCCTTCTTAGATGACGGAGGGCCGTCGATGTCAA